AAACAATAATTATAATTGCTTGCCTTTGTATAGCAGTTTTCCTCTCAAAGGATGCCCAAAGGATCCCAAAGTGCTTCATATTTGTGGGTAAGAAACCACGTCATCCATCACTGAAGTAGAGCCCCACTTGTGGACATGTGCTGGATATTGCTTAGCAAATATGACACAGAAATTAGACATTTCTTAACCAATTGAATTAAGATATAGATTTTGGGAGGCTAGATTAGCCAGCCCAAAGTAGAATTTAGCCTGGATACCAGGGGTTACATCTCCAGGGAGAACAGTGCTTGGGACCTTAAATGACCAATTTGTCAGGATTTGGGTTTAAGGTATCATCCACAGGACGCTAACTTCCACTGTACAGCGTCCCCTATCACTATACAGAGGCACTGGTCTAGAAATTCTAATCCAGATGGAAAGTGCTTCCAACAAGTACTCCAACACCACTTAGAGCAGATAAAAATGTTTTTTTTTTGTCACAGGTATTTCATCTCAGTATTTACCAGGCCCAAAGGATATTGATTTTTACTATTTCCTATCTGAAGGCATTTGCCCTCACCTTTTACAACTTTACAACCATATCTCTTTAGTAAACACAGCACAAGGAATTAGAGACTCTTCTAGCAAAAACCAGCAAGGTGATTCCCTTCACCTTCCTACCTTAGTTCTGTGGTATAAACTAGATTACAACTAGATTACAGTATTTTATCTTAAAAAACTGTAATGCTTTTGTAAAGATGAATGAAATATTTAGTATTTGATACCTGTCAAGTATAACTGAAAAATATTAAAGATGGTTTAATCCATAATCTGGTTTAAAATGTATGTCCATACTTTTATTAATTATAAATTATTTTCCATAGAAAATCTGTAATTACTTGCACTCATACAAACATTTAACATTTTAATGTTAAAAAATTAACATATAACACTTTTAAAACACTTCCCAAAATAGATTTTCTGAAAAATATAAAAATATAAATGCTTTTCTTTTTAATTAGTATATAAAAAACAAACAACATTTAACAAACAAATAAACTACCAGACTGAAATCTACCTTGATAATCACTCCTCCACTGTACTCTATATGATACACACTTATAATTAATATCACACACACTATAACTGGATTACCTTTAAAAAACAACCTATTTGTAAAGAGATCAATGAAAACTAGTGGCATTCAAAAAAGTCATGACACTCGAGCATTAATTTGACTTTAAAGTGTGAAAGTTTTCACTCCCATAAATAGCGTACAATACATTTTCATTTGTGTTTTTTTCATGCTGATAAGGATAAACGTTTTCAGACAATACAATCATCAAAAGACCTGGCTAGAGTTTTGAAATAATAAGAGCTTTAAGCAAAGAAAGATACTTCTTTTCCTTCACAAACTCATGTGCAATGCCAGATCTTACTTTGAATGCCACGATACTACGATTGAACCGACACCTTAATTGAATTTATGTTTGGGTTTGGTCTAAAGTTTCTTCGACCTCAAACTGTTTTTCGTGTTTCCCATATCACCTCATGCAATGAAAAGAAAAACCGGGCTTATGCTACACTTTGTGTAACACACAGCAGTAACACCCTCACACTCGTACAATTTGAGTGAAAATGAAAATATTTTAAAGACTCCAGCATCTGCTAGAAGTAAGATTTTAACATTTATTTTCTTACTAAATAATTTACAAATGAAAAGAGGTGCATAAACGAAGTAAAGTGCTTAATGCAGGTATTCATGACAGCACACTCAAAGAAGAGGTGACCACTGGAGGTAAGCTGCAGTGAGGGGTGGGGCAGGAGGTGTCAGAATCGTCTCTGGGAACGGGATCGACTGTCAGCAGAGGCACCGCGGTACCTGTGCTGAGCCCCCCCTGCAGAAGCCTCAAGCAGTCGGGAATGCAGGCCCTGGAAAGCAACAAGGGAAAATGAGTTCAGGTGGGTAGCTGCGTCAGCATGCATAGGCTGCATAGGAACAAGTAAAGGTTTCAAAACGTTGTGTTTTCTTTCTTTTCTTTTCAGAATGGAATAAACCTATTACTTGTTCCTTTGCAGGGAAAATGAGTGTTTTTAATATTTGGAGTAGTTCAATAAGATACTTGAAGTAGTTCAGGTGGGTAGCTGAGTCAGCATGTGTAATCAGCAAAGGAACAAGTAAAAGGAATAAGCCTATTACTTGTTCCAATAGGATACTTGTTTTTGTTTAACAGAGACTGCCACAAGCCTAATGTCTAAGTTCCTTGTTTCTCGCACAAAGTTAAATATTCATTTACCAACACAAAACACTTTTTAACTTTATAGAAATTCATTTTTGACAAGGTCAATGTTAATGTTTACAGCAAATGGTTCATTACCACAATTTGTGCATCTAAGGCTTTTTTCTTTTAATACAATTTACCTTTG